TTTTTTTTATGTTTTTACAATAATTTATAAATTAACAATTTCAAAGGTAAGAATAGAACATATACGTTTTTATTTTTTTAGGGTTAAATAAGAACTTTTCGAAAATTTTTGTATAAATACTTTTTATAGAAAAATTGTATACCTACAAAAAAGTCCAAATAAACATTTTCGCAATAGCTAAAGTTTTTGAGATAGACATAAAAAACTAAAAAATCACCCTTGGGTGGGGGGTTATTTTTAACCCCCTTGGGGCACGTCTTAGAGTTGACCAATCGTCTCCAAATTTTGTACAATTTATTTTTTCATGTATTCGAATAATTCTAGGGGGTGGCACTTCGTAATTTTTTAATTATATAAATAAGGGACACCCTAATAAATATTAAACATTTAATTTTGTTAAAACGAATAAAACCACGAGTTTTTAACAGTACGATAACTCGCTATCACCTCTCCTTTATTGACACAACCATTCCTGTAGCGTGGCCGCCAAAGTCTTCTAGATTCGTGGTATAATATAATTTCCTCTACCAAGTCCTAACNTATAATATAATTTCCTCTACCAAGTCCTAACTTTAAATTCAATTGTTAAGTAGTTGCACACTGAATGTTTAGTTTTTAAGTATTTGTCTTATGGTCATTGAATTGAATCAAACCGGCCATGAACTTCCCTGGAATTAACTAAACTCTACTTCCTTCTTCAGTTGTTTATAAATAAACTCTATCCGTTCGATTTTTTAATTATTCCCTTTTGCGTATGAACAAAATTTCCCTGTGCGTTGTCATGCGCGCCGGTGAATCACGCCTTCTACGACATGCGAATATCAAGTTATCTTCTCAAATTTCAAGGCACTAAAATTTGTTTTTTTTTTTTAATATTCAAATTTTGTTTGGTTTGATTGTTTTATAAACGCTTTATGGTAAGTTTCTTTTTTTTTTTTTCCACAATCCGGCATCGTGTGGACCGCCCTGGAACTACCGCGAGGTATTGCTTCAGGGCGGCCCACGCCGTCTAAAATTCACACCACCACGTTGTGAATCAGCCCGAAATTAAACAAGAGCTGATTCACGACGTGGTGTGGCCTCCCCCGTTAGCCGGATCCCAAAAGGCGGATCCGTTGCCCGGGTTACACCGCGTGGTGGTGGGGGCAGGACTTTGCGAAGGATGGGCAAAATAACTCACAGAAACATACATAACACATAAACATAAAAACAACACATAAAAATAAGCACCTACGGCGCCAGTCTAGCCGACGCCGCAGGTACTACCACCCTGGGCAGTCTCTGCCTCAGGCGTTCGGCCTCCTCTTTTTGGCTCATCACCGATTCGGCGAACGCCTGAACCAGAGACCACCCCTCCCGTTATACGCGATGTTCCACAGCAAGGGCCCCAGAACCGAACCCTGCGGGACGCCTCCCGTCACAGTTTTGGTTCTGGACCCTGCGGCACTCGCATACTCGATGACCCGGTCGCTGAAATACGACCGGATCATTCGGCGGAGGTACGGAGGCACCCGGAACGCAGAAGCCCGGTCCGTTCTCGGCCCTGACGGCCAACTGCTGGAAGAGGGAGGCCGCGTCGTCCGTCGACCTCCCTTTCCTAAACCCGAACTGGCCGTCCGCCAGCCCACCGACCGTCGTCAGGTGGTGCTCTATGCGGGTGGCCAACAGCCGCTCGAGGATTTTCCCCACGTCGTCCAGCATACAAAGAGGCCGGTACGACGATTATGATAACCTAAGGTTTTCGATCATACCTAACTCGAACTAAAAAGTACATTTCGGTTACGAAACACAATCCCAACAACTTTTCCATTCGGTTCGTCGACATTTACCTCTTCTCTGTCTGCCCTGGCCGGTAATCTCATGATACCCGATTTCGGTGAACTCTGCGAGACGGCGCTAAGGTGTACTGTCTGGACGAAATTTCATTGGTGAACCCGTACGAGTAAGCGGACGGTTGGAATAAATTAGATGAATTAGATGAAACAAGCGATCGCTCACGGGCGTAAAAATGTGTAAAAATTGTGATATTATCAGTGGCGGGTCGTGGTTTGGACGACGGGACGATCGCACCCCCTACTAAAATAAATAAAAAACAAAATTAATTGTATATTTTAAATTCTAAATTTTTATTAAAAATGCAAATTTTTTAATTGTAAAATAGTTATAATACATTTGTGGTGTGAGAACATCAAGATTGTTTCCATAAGTATATGCGGGTACGTCGCATGTACTCACGAGCAGTGTTTGGACGACCGACAACGTCGTCCATACGGTAATATATTAATTAATTACTTTGGGTAGTTTATTTTTAGAAACAACAGCTTGTACGCTCGTCGTTATCGGTTGCTAAATTTGTATAATCGCTATTATTATTATTTTCATTTCTATTTTCTACGGCGACCTTTAAAATAGTAATATGTGTATTGTGTTTTATTTTATTATACTTAATTTGACAATTTTTTACACTAATGACTAGTGGTATTATATTTAAAGTCGCATCCCCACCACCAGCACTCACGAGCCGCCACTGGATATTATACATATATGTTTAAAAAATTGCTAGAAATATTGTTTACTCGAAATTACTCACCTCACACACCTGCTAAATACTGAGAATGTTAGCTCTCTCAATAATTTGACAAGAATAATTTTCGCGTAAACTAATATATTTTTGTTAACATGTGAGCAATACATAATTTTCTTATGGAAAGATGCAGTGATTTTTAACTTTTCAGAGCATCGTTAAAGCATTATTTTAACAGCGGAGGAAGTGCAAATATTTTTTTGACATTAAAATTAATTTTTTGTGTTATTTTATTGTTCAAAATACTTTTTTTTTAACAAGCAATGATAGTTCAAAGAAAAGACATGCGCCTCTTACGCCTTTCTCCTGCATCCGCTACTTTAAAGATTAAAAAAAAATGAATTTCAGCAATAGAAAATAGTATGGCACATTGCATTTTCAGTTTTGGTGTTCTATTCTGTTGATGCGTCTATTAATTATAATATATATATATATATATATATATATTTAAACGTTTTTTTCTAATTTTATTAATGTTAAGTTAATTAATGCTTTAACCCTTTAAATCACACATTTATTTTTTGTTTTAATGGTGAATTCATTTAAATATCACACTTAATAATCGTAGTAAAAATTATTTAAGGGTAGTTTCAATATAATACCGCTATAGCTCAGAGGGTTAAGAAATTTAATAAATTTTATACTTGCTACTATTATTTATCACTAAGCCTGCAGCTAAGCAATACATTTTTATTATAAAATTCCACATTAAATAATCTCTAAATATAACAAGTAAAGTAAATTCTTTCTTTAAATAATCTACATAACACATTTAATTTTAGAGATAATTGTTTCAGATAGTAAATTATTTTAACTGTGTACACTTAAAATATAGATTTATCATTTGTATTATAAATTGTTAAATTTAATTTTTTTTATTAAACTATACATAATAATAGTTTTTAAGGCCATTAGCAATCCAAGATTTTGTTCTAAAAAATGGTGGCGGCTTAAACCTAAAGATTTATGTTAACATGCCTTTGTTATGAAGTTTATAATACATATTCTGATAATTTTAAGTTAAAATTTTAAAAAAGAAAAATTTTAATTTAAATACATTGATCATTTGTAATTATTCAAATATTTTGATGTATATATTAAGTGGTGTATTTGTATACAGAGTGGCCCACCACTCACTGACAACTTAAATAACTTTTGATCCAGTTAATATTTTTAGCTGATTTTTTTTTTAAATAATAGTTATACGTTAGGTCTATAGCTATATCTCAATAATTAATTTTTTTACATTTTATTAAAAATATTAATTATTGTGTATACATATAATGATAATGTGTATACATTACAAACTTGGCATTAATACCATGATAAGAAATTAGATAAGGCAATTATTACTAACCGTTCTCGTTGAAATGCGTTAGTTATTTCTATGGAAAAAGTTACACACCTCCAAATTATAATAATCATGAAAAGATAGTGTTTTCTTCTGTCCTTTTCTCAACACGTATTTCAATGTTTAATACCGTAAAATAATACATGAAAATTCAAATTTTCACAAACTTTAAAATGGTACAGAATATTTATTACTGAATATTAATAAGATATTTTTTTACCAAAATTTTTCTTAAAATCTACTCCATAAAATAGCTATCTTAGATTTTTTTTTACACTTTATTTAAAATTAAAAACTAATTTATAATTTGAATATAGTATAGAAAAATGAATTATTAAGATATAATTATAAACATAACGTATAACTATTATTTAAAAAAAAAATCATCTAAAAATATTAACTGGTTCAAAAGTTATTTAAGTTGTCAGTGAGTGACATCCACATTACATAAATTTATTTTTTTTTAAATAGAAGTTAGATAATCCAGGGAATAAAATAATATTAAACAGCTATAACAAGTCACAGATATATTTTTTTTTAATTTTCAAATTAAATTAAAATACAATAATAATTTATGGTTACATAGATAAAATTAAAAAATTTCAGTTTAGTACAATTTAAAATTAATTTTTCAAATTTTAGAGTTCTCATCCATTTCTGTTAAGTAATATTTGTTCTAATAATCAACACAAAAATTCAATAAAAGGTTATAGTAAAATTTACCATAACAGATTTGATTATTTAATAATAAAATCTCTAATAGTAATAATAATAATAAAATTTGATTGAATAATTAATATTAATTATTCTCTTTGATCAACTTTATTAAAATTTAATAAACTCGAACCGATTAATTAAACCAGTGGCTTCCCATACAATCTCTGGTCCACTCAGTTTGACAAAGCCAACACCATGAAAATGAACATCGTGTACATACCATATGCATACAACCTCCTTAAATTATCAGAAAAATAAATTTAAATTATACATTAGAAAAACTAATAAGTTTTAATACATCATGTAATTAACATATGAATAAATTAAGAAATATAAAGTAATTATGGTAGTATAAATATCAGTAATTGAAAATTTAGAGGTCACCATATTTATATTTAAGGTTTCTAAATAAAGAAATGATTAAACGGTAAATATACATGATACTTGCACAAACAAAATTTATATAAATAAAATATACAAACTCATGGTAAATTGGTGCAAGACACAAAATAACTAACCCAATATTTAAACCAAAACATTTTTTTTTGGGTGTTATATTAACTTTAATGCAAAAATGGTAAGACAAAATTTATCGATTTTAAAAATCAAAAATTGTTTGGGGATTTCCCCTATTTAAAGATATGGTTTTGTGAGATTATACAATCTTAGTACCTCCTGGATTTCTACTCTAGTTGTGCTATTGATATGATATATTTTTTTAAATCAATTATATATTTTTCTGGACAAAATGACAAATTGAACAAAATTTGCCATTAACCATTAACTGATAACTTAAATTAAAATCTTTAAGAATGCAATTACAAAGGTTAAAATTGAAAAAATATAAGTTAATGAACTAAAAAATATTTTTGAATCCATTAGAAAATGCATTTCTTAAATTCCAAACAAAATAAATTTTTATGACTATTCTAGTGTATGCAAAAGTATAATTTACCATCTCGCTCTGTAGCAGTTCGGCATTTAGGACATGGCTTTGTGGAAACTTTAATTTTTATATTACTTGCATCATCCCACTTAGCCTAAAATGAAAAAAAAAAAATCAATATCTAATATTGTACATTCTATAACTGTTTATGGTCACAGTAACTCTATAAATTTAATTATCATAGAAATGGATTTATAATAGTGATGTTTAAACCGAATCTAACTAGGGGTGTTCAAACCCAGTTCGAAAATCAAACTTAAAATTGAAAAAAAAAATAACCGAACCTTTTCCTTTTAAATATAAAAATGATCATTTTAATCGTAAAATTTTATTAAATGCAAGTTTGGCTATCAATTGAAATTATAAAATTAATTTTTTAATTAACGGATTAACTTTCAGATTAGGCAATAGCATTGTTAAAATTATTTTTTAATGATAAATTATTTTTTTTTAAACCAAAAACTTTAATTTGGATGAATTAAAAATTATTTTTTTAATTTATAATATGGTAATAGTTAATTAATTTTTTAGAAATCAAAATATTGTCTCATTGTGTATTGTTGATGGATTACAACATGATTTTCACTTTCTTCATTGTTAAATGCCTTTAGACTTATTTTAAGTAGAAATTTAAAGATAATAACTAATCTTCTTTAGTTTCAATATCATGTTTAATAAAATTAAAATTAATTCACCAGCTTATCTTGAAAATTATTTGGAATTTTTATTTATTATTATAAATGCAGGTATTAATAATAATAGCAAAAGAAGACACAGGACATTAAATATCAGATTGTATATAAATACACTATTTTCATTATTAGTTTATAATAAGGTGCTATAAAGTTATGAAAATATTTATAAACCAAATATTATTAACAAATTCCAAAATATTTAAAATTTTTGATAAATCATTGAAAATATAACCATTTTTAAATCATTTTAATGATTTAACACAGTTTTTTTGGTCCATGTTTTTAAATTAATTTAACACATTAAAAACATTCATAAATGGAAAAAACTTGCCACATGAATCATTAAGAAACAAGGATGAAAAAAATTGCAACAAATTTGCAAACTATAAAATAAAAATAGTGATATTTTTAAAACATCTCTTTTTTTACAATTACCCTATTAAACAAACTTATACACATTAATGAACATAAAAAGTAACAAATTTTCAACATTAATACTATTTTTAAAAAATGAATGATTAACAATGAATATGTCATCAAATATATCAAAGATTAACTAACTATAATCTTTTTTTAAATATTATATATATATGTGCAACAAATAAGGCTCAATAAATTTGATTTTGAGATTATAAGGTGTTTGAATTTAGAATTTTCTTCATTTATAAAAAAATTTAAGAAAATAAAAAAAAAATTGGCTTGAATCAAGATTAAAAAAATTCTTTGAAAGTTAATAAATATATTAAGTGTAATGGGAGGATAATTTTACATTTATTCTCATGAAAAGTCAGAACAAGCAAGTTATTTATTGCACAGACTGATTAAATGTCTACATTTATATAGATGATTACATACTTGTGAAGCTAATTTAGGATCTACAGAGTAATCTGTAATATTTTTAATTAGTTGCTCTTCTATAGGTAAGCAATCTCCAATATGATAACCTTGTCGACATTTTTTACAAAACACGTACTATTGAAAAAAAATAGATCTTCAAAGTTTTTTGAATAATATAATAATAAGTGTTTGAAACTCTATCAGAAAATTTATATGATTATACCTTACATCCATTGAAACATGTTACTTTATCACAGTCATCATCTACTAAAATTCCTGCACCACATCCAGGTTGTGGGCATAAAACTCCTCCTTGTTGAAGCACAAACTCTTCAGCAGAAAATCTTTCATACATGTCATACTAAAAAAAGAAATATTATTTTAATTTATAATATAACAAAATCCTTTATTTAAACTAAATACCTGTTCTTTTTGTAATATTTTAAAATGATACAACTGATTAATAAAACTGTTAGAGCAACCAGCTGGACAGGGTAAGGTATATCCTATGTTTGAATCTAAAATGAATCGTCGTTCTCTAAGTCTACTGACAGCATAATCACAAAAACATTCTAAGCATGTCACATGACTGTCAGCACAAGGATAAACAAAAACTTTTGGTCTAAAATAATAATTGCCAATTTAGAAAAAGTAAATTTTTTAAAGAATGAAAAATGTTTATTGATACTTCACATCCGTGCATGCTAGACAGGGTATATTATGCAAGTTGTTTCGGACAAGATGTAATGCTACAGCTTCATCAGTTTCACCTTTAGTAATATGTTCTGAACATTTGAAGAAAAATTCAGACCAACCAACTTCTCCATCCTAAATTCAAAAACTAAATAATGTTAAAGGATAGTTATTGATATATTCGTAGCATTATAAGTTACATACTGTACATTGAGATAATTCACAATGACCTGTTATTCTTTTAGGTTTAAGTACATCATTCCAATTTTTTGGATCACCATCTACTGTAAATGCACCACTTTTGCACTTAAAACATCGAACTCGAATTTTACCGATTGTCATGGTAGCACAAGGTGATGAACAGTATACATAAAAATTAGCAGCTGTTCGTTTGTCATCATCAAATTCATCATCTTCAATATCTTCTTCAATACAAATTGATACTTTATGGTCTTGTTTAATTGACCGATGTCTTGATTTGACAGCATGTAATACTGTTTGTTCAGCAAGGTTATATTCTTCTAATAACTCAGAATCGTGCAATTCCTTGCCCGCAAATATAATCATTAACTGAAGATGAAAATATCTTATTAATTCTAATTTTCCATAATCTCATTTAGGTGTAATTAAATACTAACTTCTTCAGCAGCCATTCCTAATTTAGGCGCTACAAACTCCTTCATGTCTTTTACTTCCCATTTTGGATCCAAACCAACAGGAACAACAGCGCCAGTGTTAGCTTTGACATATATCAACAATGAGTTAGTAATGCGCTTGGCAAATATTGTTTCAAAAAAACGACGAATTAACTGAAGTATACTTTGTAAAAGGTTCATTTCGATAACATTTCACTGAAGTCATAGATTCTCTAAAAACATTAATAGAATATTGTTTTAATATTTATATGAATAAATATTAAAATAACAAACGTTTGTTTTTAAACGGTCAAATCCCTCTAGGTCATGATAAGTGATAACATAGTCATGTTGCCAACCTATGTTTTAAAAATAGTGGTTCATAATATAAAACATCACAGAATGGGTGCAATTGTATTTCCATACTTGTCCAGCCCATTAATTTGAACACTCTTAGACAATGCTAAAATTATATTTTTATAACAATACTATTATAAATACCTAAAGTATCTATAAAAAAGAATTACTTTGATTTGTCTATTTTTAAAAAAGTTATGGAAGTTTTAAGAAAAAAACATTGAATAAATGTCGAAAATTACCGATTTTTAAAATTGCGATTGGAGGAGTTTCCCCCATTTACGGAGAACAAGAAATTTTTTTTCATTTTTGAGTGTAATGTCTTTGACTAGGTACAATTTGTGATCTTTTGACGTACTGTTCATCAAAATCGGTCCAGCGAGAGCTGAGATTAAGAGGTTACAGACACACAAAAAAAAATTTATTAAAAAAACACATGATAGTAAAATTAATACTTTCTCAGCTTCGCATCGAAGCTAAAAAAAAGTAATTTTTTTAATATTGTGTTTATTTTACGAGTATTTGAGTGGTTTATGAAAAACCTATCAAATCCGTATTTAAACCAAACTCGACCCGTAAAACATGTACAGTATCGGTCCGACCCTGCCTGAATGCCTGATCGCTTTTTTGGCTCTACATTAAATTTAAGTCTTTTGTTTTAATTTTCAGGGCCCCTAAATAGGGTATCATAGAGAACCTGAGTTCTTATGATCTCAGTTCCTCTGGGTCTACTCCGCATATAGATATATTTATATATTTATATTATAGTAATAAGTATAAATTTATTAAAACACGGAACTTATTAAATATAAACAATTTACATTATAATTAAAAATGGTAGTAAAAAATTGTACAAAATTAAAAATTCAATAGAATTTCATGACACACTAAATACGAGTAAGTAATACATAAAAATCATAATTTCATATTGTACAATATAAATATAAATTATTATCAAATTTCAATGCGTATAAAATGTCAAAAATCAAAATATGTGGCATTTGTGGTTCTACAAATACTTTTGGTATATACAATTATTTTATAAATCTAGTAATTATTTACCAAACAATCAAATGTTATTGATTTAGATAAATACTATAGTGTGGTATTTAAGTTTTATCTTTTGACTGTATAATGTTATTAGATTAAAAAATAAAATCACAGCCCGATAATTAAATAAAAATTAATAATATTAGTACTATGAAATTTAAAAAAAGCTTGGTGTCAGGTAAATACATATTACAATCATTTTCATATAATAAAATATTCCTTAGTATAAAGCCAACAATAAAAATATTTAATAATATATAATATATATAAGGTTAGTTGTTACAAACAATGAGAACAATATAAACCCGTTTCCTTACTTACTGAACATTCTAGATAATCTTAAATGGCGCTAACTAAGCTCCAACTTAAGGCAATGTTGTAAACAAGGCTAGGAACCGAAATTATATCGTTTTTTTATTTTTATCATAACTAGTAAGTTGATCATTTTCGAATTTTTTTCAAGAATTTATAATGTTAACAATTATAATAACCGAAAATATTATGAAATCGCTTTTCAAACCATAATCAAACTTAAAATTTAAACTTTTTAACGTGAAATATTAAGTTCAATTAAGGTTTCAAAGGTAGTTCATGATATATTTCGTTTCTGTGATAGTTTTTTCAACATGTACTCAAAGAAAATTTGATATAGATGAATTAATTCACTGAATAAAAGAAAAATTGTCAAAAACTAAATTTATTTCGTGTTCCTAGCCCCGGTTGTAAATAATAAAAACTTAAAAATTACATTTAAACTTATCTATAGATTAAATATAAATGAGCATTACAGTAAATAAATTTTTAATTTAAATGTGGTTATAATTATAAATATATTATTATGTACTATATTTAATATTTTAGTACCATTTATCACACCAATTAAAAAAACAATTCTGAGCTTTAAATTTTACATATAATATTTATAGTTTTCAAGGCTGGAAATTAACGTGTTGAAAGGTTATAAGTTAAGTTATTTTTACTTTTTAACTCATCTAACTAGTTTTTTTTTATACACTAACTTAAACTTAATAAGTGACTTTGTTTTTTTATTAAGTTAAGTTAGTGTTCAGTAATTATGGTTTATAAACTATTAAGTATTGCACTAAAATAAAAATTTTTTTCCCGAGAAATTTAAAATAATGAAAAAGTATATGAATCATCTATGTTTTAAATAGCAATAAAAATTTTTTTAGGTATTTAAGTGATTTTTAGTAATGTTATAAAATGTTAAAAAAAATAGATTTTCTTATAGCATCTATGGTAAGTACGTGGAATTTATACTTATTTTCCAAAAAATATCCTTTTATATTAACAACAAAAATATCTACTAGCTAAAAAGCTATTATTATTTTAAGTAACTGGTAACTTAATTAAGTTTACAATTAAAAATTAGTAACTTGAAACTTATAACTTTACTTATATATTTTTTAACCAACTTAATTACACAAATTAGAAAAAATGACTAACTTACCCAGCCTTGATAATATTTATAAAGTCTTAAATCTGGAGTAGTAACAGTTAGTGTTTTGTAATAGCAGGAGAATTAGAGGTGGGTTATATGTAATACTTGTTCCTTTAGTTAAATACAATTACATATTATAAAAAGTCAGTAATAAAAAAGTGACATCCCTCCGTGAATGATCATGGGAGGTTTGGTTTGGTTAGGTTGGTTAGTGGGTCAAGTAGAAGATTTTTAATGAATTGTAAGACATATTCCTAAATTAATTTAAAATTTTTTATTTTTCGGGAATTAAAGTTTGTTATATTACTTTTTCCCCCGTTTTCTCTTCCATCCAAATTACTTGGTCATTATTTATTAATAAAATTTAAGACTATATCGATTCGTTCAAAAAAAAATTGTTACTTAAACAAGTACTAATATAATACTTATAAATTGATTATTTAAAAATTTTTATTACCTCCTATGTTATTTTACATTAACCAATGTAACCAATTAATCATAATATTTAGAAATTTATAATTATTAAAAGTAATTTAATATTGAATAAATCAAATTACATAACTACAATTTAGCATAATCTGTAACATAATAAAAAAAAACAAGAAAAATTTCATTATTTTTTCAGAAAGGAAATTAATATTGAATGTCAATTGCATTTAAATAAACTTCCCCATAGCAAAGTTAAATCTCAAGAATTTTAAAACATTATTCGTGTTGTACCTATGATTTAATTTTAGGTACACTTTTGGTTAACTAATAATAAGTTAGTTATGTTTAGTAAATTTTGATTAAGTTCAACAAAAGTTTAACTTAATTGAAAAAAAATAACTCAAAAATTAGGGAACTTGACTTCTTTGGCGGATTTGTTGTTTTCGACTGCCCAAACTGAACCGTTATGACCTTTCTGTAGCACATGAATTAGCGCTCTTCCAACACTTTGAGCTCTATCCGTGTAAATTCAATATTTTAGATTAGTATATTAATAATAGTTTTCAATCAATATTAGAAAATAGAAATAAATATATTAGGGTGTAACAACCTCCCCATATATTTTTTTTTTTTTTGTGTGTAGATTCGACAATCGCTTTTGCAGAAATACTTACGCTTGTGGTGCTTGAGAAGCTACGTCTTTGTCCCATAGATGTAGGAAACTAGGCGACAGTAAGGCCTGTGTCACGTCTTCTGGTATTGCATCTGTTAACGTCATTCCGGGACATAAAGCCATGACACGTATACCAGTCAAATTATTATGGTATGAATCCTTTAAAAATAATTATATTTTATTTATATTAAAAAAAAAGTTGTTTGAAAAGTTATATCTTACTCCAAATGCTCTAATGAATCCAATAAGGGCGTGTTTAGTAGCCGAGTAAATAGGCATACTAGAACACGGTTTATAACCCATTGTAGAAGACGTAACAACAACAGTTCCACCCCTTCCACCCTTGTCTTTGCCCATGAGTTGCATAGCCAAGAGTGTTCCTCTAATAACACCATTCTGAAATAAATTTACCAAATTAATACATTTTTTTTACACAAAGAATATGTTGTCTATATAACGGAAATGCAATTTATTTCCAAAATATTAAATTAAATAGCCAAATATAAAAATAAGTTATCAATTTTATAATATGTTTAATGATCATATTTAAAACAATAATAATAACTATTTACTCACGCAACTTTTGACTTAGGTTATTGGTTAACGCCCACAAAGAATTTTCAACGAATTATTTAACAAAGGTTTGTAAAAAAATCAAAATAATTATTATACGGTTGTTGTTAAATTACATGTAAAAAGTTTAATAACTGCAATACTAGGATTATGTTTATATTACTATCTGTTCTATACTTCATACATTACAGTGTATTTTCCAATCAGAAACAAATTTTTTATTTAAAATTGTATAATAAATATTTTAATAGAGAATAAGATAATCTGCAAATAAGTTTTTGGTAGTAAAAAATTAAATTATGTGTGTTTTACCAAGTTAACATCAACTTCAAACTCCCAAAATCTGTCGTTGAATACTCCAGCATTGTTCACTACGATATCAAGAGCGCCAAAAATAGTAAAGGTTTTGTGAAATGCCTCTGTAAATTAACATTTAGATAAATAAAAAAAAACATTAGTTTAATATTAATTATAATAAAATATATTGAACCTTTAAATTGTGGATAATCGGTTACATCACAAGGGCAAAATAATACTTTCCCTGGACCAAATTTAGCGGTTAAAAGATCAGTTAATTTTGATCCAACTTCTTCATTAATATCACACACAGATACCTATATGTTTATAAAATTAATATAATGAAATAATTTCAATTTGAATTGTTATTATTCTTACTTTGGCCCCGTGTTTTAACAGTTCTTCACAATATGCACGGCCTATACCGGCTGCTCCGCCGGTTACCATGGCGACTTTACCCTTAATTTCCATCGATCGGTCTATTATCTACTAAAGTATGAAGGGTTGATGTAATAAAGTAACTATATGCGACGAATCATTTTATTTATAACAATAATACATGATGCACAAAAATAAATAATTATAGAAAAGTATAAATAGTATCAATCTTGAATGATGGTATAAATTCTTGACTACTCCAAGACCACTAAAAACCGGCCTCGCCCTTAACAACGGTTTGTGTCAAAAGCGCGTGGTGCTGCTGCCTGGATATATAGAATATACAACCGCAAGGAGCGCTAAAAGTTTCATTTGATGACTAAGCCCCAAAATATTTTGTCAAATTATAATTTGATTTGAACTGATATAAGACTGCCAGACAACACACGAAACCGAAATACTATATTTCGGTTTTAATTACAATTTTAAAAACAGTTTTTTATATATTTTTTTCGATTTTGTAAATAGTTATGATGGTTTTTTATATTGTTTTAGCTATAACACCAATTTTAGTATTTTTCTAGTAAGCATAACTAAAATTTTGTATAGGAAGCACGGAAAAATTGTTTTCTTTCAAAAGAAAAAAAATACATTTTTACCATGTAAATAATTGTGTTGTAAGAGTTCTGACACCCGAATCTCATACAATGACGCCATTAGTGTTTTTTAATTTTAATGAAGATATTGACTGTTAGAGAGCAAATTAATATTACAGTATTTTACTAAAAATATTAACATTCAGTTGATTAAAAGAGGACATAGGTAGCAATGTCAAGAAAGAATTTTCTGGGTAACAGAAATATCCTTGAAAATATTCTTTTGTAGGTTATTAATGAAAAATACGAGATCTCGTATAATCTTTTAAAAAAAAATGTAAGTAATTAATTTCTTTAGAAATACTTAATCAAACTTGAAAATTATTTGAAATAATGAATATTTATTTAAAATGTATAATGGAAAAATATTTATCTTTTAATTAATTGCTAGTCGCATGATACAAAAATATTAACAATTTTCTAAAAAATGATTCTGTAGCTTCTTAATGTTTCTAAATTTCTACGACTTTTCAATTACTCGCATTTATACAGCTTCTCAATTTTTAATTTTTATGGCTTTTTAATGTTTCATTTGTTAACTTTTATTTGAAGTAAACTTTATAATATTATACTTACTATATTAACATTTCCTAACTTAATTTGATTGAATTATTTAAACTAAAAAGATAAATTTATAAGTGATTAAGTTTTATTTTTTGGGCAATTCAGAACCATTGTACAGTAATGTAAAATTTGATGAAACAAGTAAAAAAGAATAATCTCGAAAAAGATTATTACCGTAATTTTATATTACTATATATAGATCACTTAAATGTTTTTAGAAAAAATAATACTTGTATCTTCTAACAACTTTTAGTATCTTTACAACTTTTTTTCAAGACCAGAGAGTTAGCCAATTCTTGATAAATACATAAATTTAATATTATTATTAATTATTTATTTAATATTTTAAACTTATTTTTTTTAATCTATGTTATTTTTTAAACCTATGTTATGGTTTTTCATAAATATAAGAATATTACATCAACATTAACGTGATAAGGGAGTATTTTTTGGTCGGAATTTAGTAAGAATGCTTAAAATTTTTTTAAAGATATATCGATATTTTGATACATCACTTTAAAAAAATTTATTTTGTCTTTAAAAGAATAAAATTTTATACGTTGAATTTTCATTNAAAATTTATTTTGTCTTTAAAAGAATAAAATTTTATACGTTGAATTTTCATTAAAAAAATCATTTTTAATAATAGCTAATTATAATTTCACTTTATACTACTTTATAAGTATACTAGGCAACCATAATATGTGTGTATTTGTCGGGTAATTATTTGAAACTAGTATAAATCGATAATTTAAAAATTTTGTAATATATCTGTAATTTCCCTAGATTTAAAATTGACATAATTACGATGAATATTTTTCTCACCACATTCAGTTTCCCGCGTAAAGCATCAAAAAGTTACAATTCTTATGGATGATAAACAAGGTTTATCCAAAAGTGAAATAAGTGAATCTATTTTGTGGTTATCTATCCTTACATGTCTATAAAGCTTGGATGATAAATATATTTTGTTTACACTTTTATTCCATATACGTGTAATTGATTATTAAAATTTACTTATACCACGGAATACTTTAATAATATCCATAATAATAAATTCAATTTTATACTATCGATATATTGATAATACCGAAATATTTTGGGTATACCTATTTTTTTTAGTATTTTTTTGAATTAAATATTTTTATTTTAATTAATATTAGTTAAAATTGTTCCATTGATATTATATAAACAAATATTACTTTTAAAATTATTCACAAAATGTTTTTTTATGACTTTTACATCAATAAAACTTCTTTTTTCAACATTAATGGCAATGAAGAAATAATTTTTTTTGTTATTTTCGTCGTTATCTGGAAAATCAGATAAACATTAGTCCACAAACATCAAATTTCTGAACGTCACTAAATTATTCTAAATAAAATTCAATTTATAGTAGCGACTAGACAAATAGAAGTATGAAATTAATTAAGTTGATACTTATAGCAACTATTCTGATTGATGCAAACAATTTAAAAATCAAATTGACTTTAAAAAAATCGTTAAATTTATTTGGTAGTATATGTTAAAGTAAAAATTTGTACTTGGTAGAAACTTAAAATTTTTTATTTTATTAAGATTTAATAATTTTTAAGGTGTTGAATGTGTTGTAATCTGTAATCTGATTTCTAGCAAAAAAAAACATTAAATTTCAGATCCACAGATAACTATTGTTGTACATTTTTTTTTAAAGAAAAGTTAAAATGTTCAAGTTGTTGTGCAGTGGAATGTTGTAGATATTATGAAATGCATAAATTAGAGCCTTATCTAAATTGATTATTTGAATACTTTAAATTGTAAATAGCATTTGTAGTTGTTTCATTATTTGAGGACATTATAATTCAAATAAAAATACTAAATATGAACATTTAAACAGATATCAGTTTTTTTTATTTCTAATATCACTGATATTGTTATATAAATGATACAAAATCTAAACTTCATTCAAATAAAGTTACGATTGTACAAAAACTATTGTGATTTGAAAAACAAACATGATCTGCAACTTGATTAATTAGTATTTTTTAGTTATTCATTAGCAAGGAAAAATCTTGTGCCAATTATAATAAAATCAAATAATGGTAATAATTTATTACTAATAAACAATACATATTTTTCGAATGGAGTATTCAATGTCTTTTCTACTATACAATGTCATAGTATTATTAACAATGGAAAAAATTAAAACAATTTATTTTAAATAATTTTTCAAGTATTTGAAGTTGAACTACTACTGGGATAATTTTGTTTGGCTAAGTATGGATTAAATTGAGAATTATACTTCTGTATAATAGCTGGAGGTTTCTGTTTAATTTTTTCAACTGGTGTTACTCCATTTATTTTCGCTAAAATTTGACTAGCCCTAAATCTTTCTTCCCTTTCTCTCTTTAATCTTTTTGCTCTAAGTTCTTCTATAGTAGAAGAATGTTTTACTTTTTCTTTTTTCTTTTTCCTTTTTTTATGTTTTTTAGATGATGATTCATCATTTTGTTTTATTTTAACTTTAATCTTGTTTATATCTTTCTTTTCATCATCAACATACTTTTTAATGACAAGTAATGGATCATTAAAAACTTTTATTTTAGTTTCCACTTCCTTATTATTTTTTGTGCTATCTAAACGTGCAGGTAGTTTATTATACCATTGAACATTACCAGTTGCTTCATCAGTATCTTGTCCTAGGTAAGTTAGATATCCTATTTTTTTTTCATATGCTTCTTTTTCTTCCTTTTTTTCTTGTTCGTGTTCTTTATTTACTCCTGTGTGAGCAATATTACCATCTTCAAGATCCTGAAAAAAATTTACATGCTCTGACTCTGCTTTTATTACTTCTTTAGGACGATCAGCAGTATCATCATATCTCTCTTTTGCTTTTCCCCTTAATATTAATAGCTTGGTTTCTTGTTCCTAGAAATAAAATAAAATGTTACTTTAGATATATTTAATGATTTTTTCATTGCATACAGCCAGCTGTATCCTCATTTTTAGTTTTCTTTCCTCTTCGGCTGCTTGTGCTTCGTCTCGCCTGACACGGGCAATATTTTCTTTTGTGCGAACATGCCATCTAAAAAAAATTTAATATTGTAGTAATCTTATACTTTGAACATTGCAGTTAAGATAAATAAACGCGATTAAAATTTAATTTTTAATATTAAAATGTATTTCATTATTACTACAATATTTGATTAATACATAATCTATATACATTTTCAATTTAAAATTTTAAACATTACCTTTTTTTAGGAAGAATATTCATTTTTAATTAAATTAATAGTTAAAATAAAAAAAAACAAAGATGTCAAATAACGTTATTTCTTAGATTTACATTTACTAAATATTATGAATTGAAAATTATAAAAAAACATTGATAACAGTATGATTGTTAGTTTGATAAAATAATCAGTGCATGTACTGGTCTTCGTGTTTAAAAAAGCCGAACGTTCATAGTGGCACTGTACTCGGGGCCAATTGTCTGTGTTAGCCGTAGCTGACGGATTTCGATCATTCTTGTTGATATTACCTAAAAATTTCGGATTTTACATTTTTTATAGTTTTTCATAAGTATTTATCATCGTTGTTATTTGGCCTCACACTTATAAACGTTAATTTTATTTATTATTCTGTTGGCAGATTTCATTAAATATGGCAATGACTGCAAGCTTAGTGGGTGAGTTACAGTTACAATGTGCGGTATAAATTATGATGTAATGACAGTAGGATTGATTAAAAAAATGTGTTTCCATAATAATGTTGAAATATTTTTTTGGTTGAAATAAATTTATCATTTGTTAAAATATATTTTATAAACTCTTATTTTGGCGTTATGCAATATTCATTGTTGGGAAAATTAATATTAAGCTAGTTGTAATAGATGACATGTAGCATTATATTCTTAGTATCACATTTGGTACAACTATTAAATATTTATAAATCTTAACCTAATATTATTATATGAGTTAACAATGTTAGGTAATTTGAATTTAAAATACAAAGTGTAGCTTAAGTAAAAAAAAAAAATTATTATGTACATTATTCTGTATGAAATTATGTAATACTATTGAAATTCTTGTTTTAGTTGTTCCACGAAATTTTAGATTATTAGAAGAATTAGAACAAGGACAAAAAGGTGTTGGTGATGGTACTATAAGTTGGGGTCTAGAAAAAGATGATGATATGACATTAACCCATTGGACTGGCATGATAATTGGACCACCGAGGGTAAAGAATGTAAAAAATTTTGTCTTACAAATTGTAATGTAATGATTTTAAACTTTAATAGACACCATATGAAAATCGAATGTATAGTTTAAAAGTAGAGTGCGGTCCAAGGTATCCAGACGATGCACCTGTCGCTCGATTTGTAACAAGAATCAATATGACTTGTGTGCACAATTCAACTGGATTGGTTAGTACTAATTTTATATTATTAAGTTTCTATTGATATTACTTATTAAAAATTTAATGCATTGATTAATTTTATGATTGCACTATTTATTTAAGAAATAAATAAAGTTCAATAATATATTTTTAGAGCAGATTAATTGAAACTGCTATAGTACTATAGTTTTAATGGTGTTATATAAAAATTAACCAGGATAGAATTAAATAAAAATTATATGTCTTGAATTATTGAGAAAACTGATAGATTTGTTAAATGTATGTTGGTTAGGTTAGAATTATTGCATAATAAATGTTAAATAAAAAATTGAAAGGCATTGTATTTTTCATTGATACTCCTTAAAAGCTACAAACATGACTATTATTAATATACTTTGCTCTTTACTCATATCACACTGTCAAAGTAAAATGTCCATTAATCAAATTTTAACAATAGTACATGATGTTTTTTTTTGCTATCATGAGAGTTAATCTATTGATACTAATATAAAAAATGTTCATAAGTCTTTGAATTCTAAGTGATTTAAGTGCAAGTATTTTTGACAATGCATATATTTCTGATGTCCGTTTTCCTCTTATACATTAATCTTTTTTAATTCCAATTTTGTATAGCATTTTAAAAATTTCTCAAATTTTTACTTGAATTCTTCTGAATATTAGTTATTATATTTATATTATTTATTATTATATTATATTTCTAAGCACTATAAAGTTTCATTTTTTTAATGATTTTAATATATTAAATCATATGAAACTATTTTTAATTTGTTACAACTGTTATTTTTAGTTGTATAGATTTGTATTCATTTTGGCAGAAAAAATTGCAATAAGTTCCATTTTTCAATTTTTTTCCTCTGAGAATTAATAACTTTAAAGTTTGATGAAACAGATATAACTACATAACTTAATGTACTTATTTTTGTTTCCAATACCGCATCTTCATAGCATTTACATCTATAAAAATATAGTTTTTCTACTAATATAGTTTAAAAAAAAATCTTATAGCTTATTAATAATGTTATTAAAATAAAGTTAACTACTAGTTCTTGCTCTAATTTATTTCCATATATTTTATCAATTTAATGGATTTTACTTATTCACTTACAGTGTGTACTAATTTTATTAAAAATTTCACTAATTTAGATTATATTTTTTAATTTATTTTTAGTTTATAAAACAACTTTTAATCTAAGATTATTATATTTTAATAAATAGTAAATTTTTGTAGGTTGATAATAGGCAAGTGCCTGTATTAGCAAGATGGCAACGTGATTATACCATAAAGACTGTATTGCAAGAACTTAGAAGATTAATGACTCTCAAGGATAACATGAAAATGTCTCAACCCCCTGAGGGTAGCACATTCTAGCCATCGCCGCTGTCTGAACCATGGAATAGTTTGTACCTTGCGCCTCGCTACCAACCTACAGTCGCTGCACCGGTACAACCAACACAGCCGATGCAAGCAGTACAACAACAACGTCGCTTCATTGGTCGTTGCCTGAGAATTATTTTTCCATGCTGTTATTACGCAGCATCCTCTCAGTCAGACTCATAGTTTATTGCCCAAAAATAATAGGGGACCATCCCCTTTTAATTTGCGATTTCTAAACATATTTGGTAAAGAAATTTAAGTTTCACAGGTCATTTTTGTTTTGTAATTTTTTTTTTGTTAAATATTCGTTTAATTTCATGGTTCAGAAAGCGCAATTCACATTTAGGCATATTTTATATACTATTTATAATTTATAATATTATAATATACTCATAAACAAATTAGATTTTGTTGTATTTTAAGTGCTAAAAACCTTAATTATTAATAAATAATATAAAATAAATGAACTGATGCATAAGTAAATAGTTTACCAGTCAAATTGAACTTGTAAAATAATTTGTGGTTAAATTAGTCATCTGCACTCATTAATATTTGAATCAATATTGTTGAAAATATTCAATTACTATCACTCAAATTGAATTTATGATTTTTTAAAATTTAGAAATTTAAGTTTTTACATTTTTTGTTTTCTAATTTAATTAATTTACTCTTAAACTGTTTTATTATATCATCAAAATAGAATAATTATAAATATTTTTTTAAAATGGTGTCTTGAGTGAATTTGATGTAGATAAAAGACATTAATTTTACTCAAAATACATTTTTCCTGTTATAAAAATTTGAAAATCCATAACTTAGTTTTATTTTTTTTTTTTTTAATAATCAATTAAAACTTATTAAACGGGTATTGTTGAATTTTATAAAATTATTGTCTGCTTATAGTTCATTAACCATTTATTCAATACTGATTAATAGCTATTGTAAATTATAGTAAGAATTGTATAAAAGGTAGTTTAAAAAATGAAAATTAAGAAATTTTAATTATTTAATATCAAACTAAAATAATAAATATTCAATAATTTAGTTTGAATATTAAAAAAAAAATCTTTTAATAAAAATAAAGTTAATCAAATTGTATTGATGTTAAATGTAACTGTTAACTTATTAAGTATTTAACAAAATGAAATGCTTCAAATACCATGTTTTTTTAATAATTACTAACAATTGAGTTTTACTGTATATGCTGCAAATATAACTAAGAATATGTGAATTTTTATATTTTTAATTAATAATTCATGATTCTATGGAATTATTATACAATTTTAGAAGTTTCCTACATACTTATTTTTATAAACTCTAGATAAAATTTGTGTTAAATGATGTTATAACACATACGCGCAAATAGGGGAGATTTTTTGGCTACTTAGTACCCCCAGCATATTTCGCCATTCTTTTAAAATTTTATTAAGAATAACTGAGTCATCTGTTATAATATTGTATTTGTGTAAATACATCTGATTTATACAAGATTTATACTTTTTATACAATCTTGTCTTTTAATTTTGTGAGTGTGTAAATTGTCATTGGTGCATACTGTATTTTACTTAAAATATAGTAGTATGTTTTAGTTTCAACAATTATAGTTGAAATACTGCAGCTGTAAGAGAAAAGGTATATATTGATATTATTTATAAATCGATCAAAATAAGGTTGGATATATTTAAGAAAAGCAAGAAAAAATTTTCTTCGATCTTTGGAATTTAACACCTCCAAGTTTTTAGTGAAAATTTAGAGAGAAGATATTAAAGTTTGTTTTGTTTGAATTATACAATAATTATTGTTGATAAGTAATTAAATAAAACATAATTACTTCTAGAGTATTTATATAAATAAAATGAAAAACATAAATTCTGGCTAAAATAGATGATAATATTTTTTTTATACTTAAAACATTTATATGCTCATGGTTGTAGATCCAAATATATTTTTTAATTATGTTATCTCTTCAATAAGCTAATTTGTTAGTAAAAAGTAAAATTAAATTGAACACACATCCAACACAACTCATATTGCATCGAGAATTTAACGTTTTTTAGTCACTTAATATTCCCGATAATAGCTTATTAGAGGTGTGCTCAGGATTAAACTATAATAATTATAATTTATACATACCATTATTATAATTTGGTATACCGTTTAGTACTTATATTGGAGTTCACATATTTTGTAGGCGTTTTTTTTTATGTTGCTAAGTTTTAAAACATAGAAGAAGGGTGCTGGGTATGTATTTTTTCTTTTTTTGAAATTCATATACAATTAACAAATGCTTTATTGGACAGCCTTTCGGGTTGGCCTGTACCTATGTCAATCCTAAACACAGTATAAACTCGAATATACCAGACTTATCCACTGAGCATTCCGATGTAGCTCGCAAAGTTGATTCCTTTTTACAGAGAGTGTATAAGTTGTAACGTATTTCATAAAATATGAACTATATAAGTAAAATTAATTCATATGTATAACACGTGTATTAATAATAAATAACATAATTTACAAACATAATAATAAATACAATAACGGAAATTATACTTGCATGAAATAGATTATAATAAAAATGTGAAGTAAATAACAATGAAAATGATATTTGGCACACTTATAGAACTGATATTTTATAGCATCTTTAGTGTTAACTATATAAGTAACACAGTGGTGGATTCAGAATTATTTCATAAACAAGAGACACGCAAAAATGGTTTTAGAAGTCAACATACATTTTTTGACAATCTTATCTTTCAAATACCCTTTTTTTTTTAGTAGGCGAACCTCCAACTTATGGAAAGAGCGCGCGTCTATTGCGTTCTCACCCTGAATCCGTCACTGAGGTAACAATAATTGTACCTGTAGGAAGTATAAACTAATGTTTTTTTTATAAAGTTCCTGATATAAAAAAAGAATATATATATTAAAATATAATATATACATTTATACATTATCAACATCAATTTAACATTTAGGATATTTAATAAAATAAAACTAAAATTGTTTTATAAAATTAAACCAAATTTTATGTAATAATCATTAAAATTAATTTACATAAATTTATAAATCTTTAATAATAATTACCTACGGTGACTTGGTAATAATGGTTAAGTATTTATAGGTAATTACAATCGATGTTCACAAAATAATTTCCTGTATAAGTAATATAGAGTAGCGGTGTATTTACAGAACTCATTTTAGAGGTGGCGGTATACTTATTTATACTTTGGTATGCAGACTAGAAAAATGTTTTGGGCTAAAAAGCAAAGTGATGACCAAAAAATAGAGGGCTTTAATGCTTTATTTCGTAATATAAACTTTAAATAGTGCTAGTCAAAGGGATTGCCCCTATCCCTCTTAAATATGCCTCTGATACAAAGATACAGTAAAAATCGTCATTTTACATGGCAAGTACATAAATTATTTATTAAAAAAATCTCTCGTATTGAGGTTACATAAAGAATTTGAAGCTCATAAAACATGTGTACAGGTGATTCTAATCTCTAAAACTTTCATTTTAATGACAAACAGTGTGTGATTTTAAATCTTTCAAAACTTTTAGTGCAACAAAAGTTTTTATTCAAAACTTATAGTTACTCGATTGAGTGTGTGAAAATTAATAATCTGCTGAATATATATATAATCTTTTCTGAAATCAGTTAGTTTTTATACTAAATACTTCTTGTCTTAACGTTAAAATACTCCAAAAAGTAGGTATATTAATGAATCAAGACAAACTTTTGGAGTCTCCTTCCGTTAAAAAATTCCAGGTATGCCATGATTAGAATGTATAAAAAAAATAGTTACACTAAACGCGCTCACTTATTTTATAGACTAAACAGCCGGCGTATGATCAAATTTAATTAAATAACGATATTTTAACATTTTTGAGGTTACCTCGATTTAAAGAATAGTGTAATATGGCTATCGAAATTACAGCAAAATAAAGTGAAAATACATGTACAATAGTGTCAATAAAAGACAATCAGAATGTCATATAGAAAAGAACTTTTAAAGCTGTCTGATATAAAAGAAAAATATAGACATTGTTATAGTGTTAAATAGAATTAAAAATGTAAAGATTGTTACAGTTGTTACAATAATCATATTAGTTAATAATTTCATTAGTTCAATTTTCTTAGCAAAAAAAAAATTTATATAACTCAAGACATAATAAAAATAAATATTTATTCTTATGTAGTATTAAATATGAAAAGTAAATTAAAATTAGATAGGTAAGTTCATTTGTAATTAAATTTTTTTTATTACTTATATACACAAATATTTGTATTATGTATACAAATATTTTTATTTTGTTAACTAAGGATTTTTTTAATATGAATATATAATTTAATATGTATTGGAAAAAGGCATTTAAAATATTTTATACTATCGAATATTTTTATATAATAGTGTATTATGTTCCACTTCAATAAAACTTGTCTATGCAACAATTTTAATTAATTATTTTTTATCCAAAATAACAATATTGGACTTCAATATTTGGTTTCATAGTACTAATAATTTCAAAATTATTTATTTAAGGAAATTTTTTCCTCAATATGATATTAAAAAAGTATCTATTTTCTATCATGATTCAATTTAAAATCATAATAGTGATCATAGTGGTATAAGCCTAAGCAATTACTATAATAAAATGTTTAAATTTACTTGCATCATTCAACATATATTTATTGAATATAATTATAACGTTGTTAAGAATGCATAAGGCAAAAGTGACATTTTTTATAAAAAAACCAAGCCAAATGATCAATTGAAATGAAAATTACATGGCGTTATACGGAAAACAAAAACTTTGAATTTAATCACCTTTAGATTAATAATATTAATTAGAGCGATCTTATATAATATTTAAAAATATTTACATTCGATTATAAATGAGGCGGTCAGGATGCAAGTTAAGTTATATTAGTTTAATATAACTTAAAATCTAATGTAAATGTATTTTAATATTATGTAAGATCGCTGTCATAGTTTATAATTACTCTTATAGTAAAAGACTAAATGACATCATCTAATATAAATTTTCTAAAATTGATTATTTTTTTATACTTTAAGTTATCAGAGACGTATGTAGAGTTTTGGCGCCCCAGGTAAAGTTTTATTGCCTCCTCTACATACCCCTTTATTTTATATATTATGGTTACGAAAAAATGCTGCTACCCCTTAATTCAAAAACAAATTTGGCACCAGGTGCGACTGTACCCACTTACTACCCCTAAATACGTCCCTGTAAGTTATGTATTAACTTTTTTGAAGAAGATTTTTCATTTAAAAATTAGAGAAATAAAAAATAGCTCTTAAGATGTTATTGCGTGCAAAAATATTATTACGATATTTTATAAATTACTTCTGCGTTAACAGAATTTTTTATAAGATCTTAAATGATTATTATTTTTTATTAATTTTTTTTTTCTTACCGTTTTGTAATGTAGCGTTTAATTTCAGCTCAATTTTAATTCAAAAATAATATAGCTCTAACAAATTTTTTACGTCGCCAAAAATTTTAATTAAACTTTTTTTAAATGTTCATAAAAAGCATAATAATAAGGACTCACGGCTGCTTTTGATTCGATCAAGCGTTATACTTAATTCTTAAGTTTTAAAAAAACTGAAAAGTTTGCACTTTTCCTTTTTAATTAAAAATGTTTATTGAATAGGGAAATCACGATAAACGAACATAACTCAAGAAAATTACAATTCATGTTGTATATCAATTTAATAACATTAATCAGCCCAGCAAATTTATACTCCGCAATGAGATCACATTCAATTAATATTTTCCTAAGTAACAGTTGATCTTCAGACGTAGACATTTACTACAGCAGATAGTGTTCTTTTCACATGGCCGTCACTTCCGTCATATCCAAATCTGTGGTGTCGTATTCTTTGGCCTTTCGCCCTTTTGTCAGGATGCGGAATTTATACTTTCTCTTTGTGCAGTCATTTTGCCCGTTGTTCCCACAGTATTGATACTGCTGTAGCTGCTTCCATCCCCGTTGCTGTCGCATTTGGATTTTTTCGGCGGTTTCCGCGACGGAGGCTTCAAGAGACCGTTGTCGGAACAAAGATGGTTCAAAGGTATGCATACGGTTCCTGTTAAAAAAAAAAAGACGAATCATTAACATGGTTTATGACATAAAATAAAATCATCTCTGCGAGCTCTGCAGAAGTGAATAATACTATTAGGATTATTTAGACGTAAGAAGTATTATCTATGCGCATTCTCTTTGAACGATTAAGAGTGTGTACATAATTAATGAGCTAATACCTTTAGGTGTAATTAACCATTTTATCTAAAAACACAGAATTCCATTAGTCATGCTAGTAGCGTGTACTTAAAATGATACTGCGATGTGTAATTAGTAGTACTCGTAACTTGCTAATTGTCACTCATTTGTACGAGTATAAAAACACATCTTCACTCATTTATAATATATTTTACATTTAACTCTTTGAGAAAAAAAGGCGGTATGTTATTATATTTTTTCAATATTCTACGGATACATTGCAAAACAATATAATTTTTCAATATTATAAAGATAATAAATTCAAAAGTACTCTCAAAACATGTTAAATTAGATAAAAAGGTAGATTCTGTATAAAAAAAGAAAAATAATAACACTCTTGTCGTTCAAATAAATTACAAATATTTATATATACATAATATATATATATATATAGATTGTATTTATTGTACGTTAAAGAAGAGCATAAAGATTGGCGTTTTGGCGTATCTATTAAAAAATTTATAACTAGAATAGGAAAAATGCTGTGTATCATAACACTAAACATTATAGCAATACGTTGATCTCTCTCATTAACAAATATATACTATGATACAGACAAAAATTTAGAAAACTATGAACTCCTTTAACACACTGGTGTATCTTATAAAATATCATTGTTATCACTATAATTATGGCTGGTCTTATCGATGTATTATATTTTATGGAAAGGTTTCAATATATAATATCTCATAAAAAAATTCTCTATAATTCTCTGAAAATATTAGGTAATAGAGCTTATACTTGAGTATGTACACGCTATTTTGTACATTGATCCTTCGATTTTTTATAAACTTGTGTTAATAAATCAAACCCCGAGTTTTTAAATCGGCTGGGTTAATGGATTTTACAAAAAAAAAAATTAGATTTATCTTTACTTTCTATTAAATATTGGGTATGATATTTATTTTATATATGTGCTTTGTATATAAATGAGATAATAATGAGTATTGATTACCAAATATTTATTTTATCGCGAGTAACTGTACAGGTTTATGTAAATATAAAAAAAAAACATAATATATTTTTTAATATCATGCCAATTCAACGGTTTGACAACGCCGAAAAGAAAAAATAATAGAAAATCTGGTAGCTAAATTTTATAAAATACTCTTATGTCGTATGTTAAAATTCAGGTAATGAGACCGAAAAGGATGATGGAACTTAAAACCATTTGCACATATGCGGACCCCACCACGGCCGAAACTTAATTTAAAATTAAAAAAATAAACCGTATCGTAAGCAAAACTCAATTGAATAGATAAAAAAAAGTTTTCATTAAGATGAAAAGCCTTTTAAATAATTTTTTATTTAAAATAGAATTTTGTTCTGAGAAGTCGGAATTCATTGATGAGGTCGACATCAGATAAATTGTGATATAATAGGAAATGTTGTTGTAGTTGCGACTCGTCGTGTCTTGTTGGATATTTCCAAGAAGTTATTCTACAGATGCTAAAAATAGACACGTGGGATTTTAACTAATCGACAAAAATAGTAATAACTGTAAACTGTTGAGCCAATTGTATAACACGAAAAGTGTGTTTTTTGTCAATTTTAATGCTTTCTTCACACGTGTATGTCGTACTGAGAGTCTCTGACCAGAGACACCAGTGTAATTACTACTTTTTATATGTGTTTTTACTTATGTTAAAAATGAAGGCCTTTACAAAAGCGTATTACGTCTTATCCATAAAATTGAATGCTTAATAATAAATACTATTGTTTTTCAATAACAGATAATATGATAAATTTGTTCCATGTATGTTATATTTTGAGTTATTACACTAATGTACTCACAGTGTGATGAGATCTGTGGATAAGCTACTTTATTATAGTACATATGTAAAAATTGCCTGTCGTTCTCAGTCAGTCAATTATCTTTATTTAATTTATAACGAAATGAAAAATTTTTAATAATTCTTTACAATTAAAGTATTTCATTTTATAGCTCAATTACATAATTGCATGTTAAAAGATTAACTATTTTAAAATTTCTTCGTTAACAAGAAATTATGGGTTGCTTGAAATAATTCATAAATAATTAAATCTGCACTTATTAACCAATGGCGGAATTTCTGGGCAGCAAAAATGTATAGAGTGTTCAGTAAGTAAGAAAACGGGTTTCTATTGTTAGTAACAATTGACCCGTTTCCTAACTTACTCCTAACACTCTGTGTATGTTTTTCTACATTTTCTATGTCTGATTAAATATTTTTGGACGTTACACCCCCTTCATTGTGAACACCACATTCTGCAAGGGGGTACAACAAATAATTTATGCTCGAAATATTGAAATAAACACATGGGTTCAGTCCTGTATGTATAATATATTTATATATAACGGTGTCTGGGGCTATCCAAACCCTTTTGGTAACCCGCCACTGCTGTTAATTTTATATTAAATAACTTAAAATTTTGAAAAGAAATTTCAAATTCATGGTTTTTATTAGTTAAGATCGGGTTTCAAATAAAATAAAATTTTGATTTTCTAAAAATTTAACCGTAACCTATACCTTGAAAATAAAATGTTGTAAGGTCCGAACCCAATCAGAATACCAAAAACATATAAGACTCATTCTCTGTGATAAATACATAATTTGATGTTAATTTTATTCATTGTACTAATTAATCATTTATGATTAATTAGTTTAATTGAATTAATCAATTAGAATTGAGATGAATTGGCATTAGTTTTTATGCAATTAATTGAACAAAAAACCAGGACATTATTGTAGTTAAATTGCATATATATAACGCCGCCTGATAAAATTAAAACGCTTTTTAGTAATTTTATTGTTCTAAGTAAAAATGATTTTATAAGAAATGAACGGGTTTATAACGAAATATTAATCATGCCTTATAAATTGTTATTGAAATTTTAACAATTTTTTAATTTGATTTAGCGAAATAATGTATTGTGTTTTATTTTCATTAGCTCAATAAATACACGTAGCCCAGAGGAGATCGTTTTGAAAATAATGAAATATCTATAATGTTATTGGCAAATGTTTAATATCTTAAATGCATTGTTGTTATGCACATTATTTAAATAAAAATTTAATTAAAATATGACTAGACGCGTATACAAGGTATCAAATGAAACATTGGTCACTGTAGAAAAAAAATCGTTAAAAGGATTGGCAAACACAATGACTGGACATAATAACATTGCGTACAGATTGTATTACAATATTTTTCCAATGGAAATTTAGTAGAATTAACATTATAAAATGGATATTAAATTTTTATAAATGAAATGTTCGTATCAATGCTATAAATATGATTATTATATTTTTATTAAAGTAATCAAGGTGATTCTTTTAACAGTAGCCACTAGATTTCTCTTAAAATAATATAATTTTTTTTGGCTCTTGTTAGTTACAAATTTATCTGTATAATAATATAATTATATAATTTATATTATTTTTGACACATTTTAGTTTCATATATTTCTTAATTTATTAGTTATTAATTATTTTTTTAATTCATTCCTAAAAATTATAACAATGTCAATTTTATTTTTAAAATGGCAAAATATATATTTTGCTAGTTCATAAAATAAAAAGTTTAATTAAGAAAATTACTGGTCATCTACCGGATGTAAAGGGCGAGTATTACAATTTTTGTCATTAGACACATTTTTCGGTCGCAATTTTCCTCCTGCTTAGGTATGAAAATGTTAATAACTTTCTAAGTAATAGATTGAAGGTTGGTATCTACCGACCATTCTCTTATTTAGATCATTTTCTATTTTATAAGCTAATTTAAATATATTAAGTCGAAATTCTTATAAGGTATAAGTGATAATTAAAAAAGTAATTAATATTTGAGAAATATTTGAAACTAAAAATTACCAAAAATCATGTCGTTAACATAATTATTATTTTAAGATTCGAGGAACTAATATTAACTTGTATATTTGGATAAAATGTAAAATTATATTACTTTTTAAAATATTCCAACTAATAGTTAAAAGAATATGTCACAACTGTTTTAAAATAAGTAATTAATGTCAATATGTTAGCAAATCTTCTGATAAACTTAAATTTAATTATTGTTATGTTAAAATTACTTTTAAAAGATGCTATTCTACACATTTTCAAAAATTATAATAAATTTTGTACAATTTGTCAGTACAATATTGCAACATCAATTCATTTTTTTAAGATTTGTTATAAAACATTTTTTCTGCAACTTTTTATAATTAAAAAGTTTTTTTTTTGCCCAGAGAGATAATACCAAAAATTCATATCTTTCCTATATATGTGTCAAAAAGTTAATACATGAATTATTATTAGATGAAAAATGTTTTTCATAAAATTGAAGAATTGTATTTAAGTTTAAATATTTTTGAAGTACTGAACAGACAGTTCTAAACATGATGTCTCCGAACAAATATGCAAACAATTTGGGTATATGACTCGTAGGACATTATGTAAAATATTTTTCAATAGTTTGTTCATAAGTAAGTTTCTTTATTTTCAGCTCAATATAGTTATTTAAATTTTTTAATGAATTATTTAGCAGGTATAATATTAGACATGAACGGAGCTAAAATTTTTCATAGGATTTCCAAGTATGATTTTGTATTAAGTAACTTAATTCTAATTATACATAAATTTAAAGAAAGCAATGGATCCTGTTTTGAACTATAATTTTTAATTGTTAGAACAAGAAATTATAATTTTATTTTTACTTCATGTCCGAAATAAAACAATATAAATAAATCATTTTTTAAAAATAAAATTAACCCAATTTTTATATTTTTGTTCAATTTTATAATAATAATATTAGCACTATTCATATTTA